TATGCCATGTATGTAGGGTGTTATGTAGTGTGTCATGTTAGGTGTCGTGTAGGGTGTTATGTAGTGTCATGTAGGGTATTATGTAGGTGTTATGTAGTGTCATGTAGGGTATTATGTAGGGTGTTATGTAGGGTGTTATGTAGGGTGTTATGTAGTGTCACGTGGGTGGTATGTAATGTCATGTAGGGTGTTATGTAGGGTGTTATGTGGGGTGTCATGTCAGTGTTATATAGGGTGTTATGTAGGGTGTCATATAGGGCGTTATGTAGTGTCATGTAGGGTGTTATAGGGTGTTATGTAGGGTGTCCTGTAGGTATCGTGTAGGGTGTCATGCAAGGTGTTATGTAGTGTCATGTAGGGTGTTATGTAGTGTGTCATGCAGTGTGCCATGCAGGTGTTATGTAGGGTGTTGTGTGTGTCCTGTAAGGTGTCGTGTAGGGTGTTGTGTAGGGTGTCATATAGGGTGTCATATAGGGTGTTATGTAGTGTGTCATGCAGGGTGTTATGTAGGTGTTATGTAGGGTGTCATGTAGTGTGTCATGCAGTGTGCCATGCAGGTGTTATGTGGTGTTAAGTATTGTGTCCTGTAGGTGTCGTGTAGGGTGTTATGTAGGGTGTCATATAGGGTGTTATGTAGTGTGTCATGCAGGGTGTTATGTAGGGTGTTATGTAGGGTGTCATGTAGGTGTCATGTAGTGTGTCATGCAGTGTGTCATGCAGTGTGCCATGCAGGGTGTTATGGTGTGTAGGGTGTCATATAGGGTGTCATGAGTGTTATGTAGGGGTCCTATAAGGTGTTATGTAGGGTGTCTGTAGTGTGTGTGTCATGTAGGGTGTTGCGGTGTTGCGTAGGGTGCCGCGTGGTGGTGTTATGTAGGTGTCGTGAGGATATAGGTGTTGGTGTAGGGTGGTATGTAGGGTGCAGGGTGTCGTGAGGATAGAAATATGGTGAGTTATGTAGGGTGGTATGTAGGGTGTTATGTAGGGTGATATGCAGGGTGTCCTGTAGTGTGATGTAGGGTGTTATGTAGTGTGTTATGTAGTGTGTCGTCTAGGGTGTTATGTAGGGTGTTATGTAGGGTGTCATATGGTGTCATGTAGGGTGTTATGTAGTGTGTTATGTAGGGTGTCATGTAGTGTGTCATGTAGTGTGTTATGTAGTGTGTCACGTAGGGTGTCCTGTAGAGTTTCGTGTAGGATGCTATCTAGTGTGTCATGTAGGGTATTATGTAGGGTGCCATGTAGGGTGTTATGTAGTGTGTCATGTAGGGCGTCATGTTGGGTGTTATGTAGGGTGTTATGTAGGGTGTTCTGTAGGGTGTTCTGTAAGGTGTCGTGTCGGGTGTTATGTAGTGTGTCATGTAGAGTTTCATGTAGGATGTTATGTAGGGTGTTATGTATGGTGTTATGTAATGTATCATGAAGGGTGTCATGTTGAGTATCATATACAAGGTGTCATATGAAGGGTGTTATATGTAGGGTGTCAACTAAGGTGCCATATGGATTGTCATATGTTGGGTGTCATGTAGTGTGTAATGCAGGGTGTTATGTAGGCTATGTAGGGTGTAATGTAGGGTGTTATGCAGTGTCATGTAGGGTGTCATGTAGGGTGTCATGTAGGGTGTCATGCTGGGTGTCATATAATAATAATAATAATAATAATAATAATAATAATAATAATAATAATTAACGGTTTATTGAAAAAGTTCTGCAGCCCGAAGACTGAAAATATACATCGGACAGAAATATCAGTCCAATGTATATCTGGGTGGTTCGTTTAAGAAAGGCTTTTATTACTAAAAGGTGAAGGAACATAAATTGAACATACACATTATAGTTTACAGTTGATGGCCCGGACTGGATTTATTTATTTTTATAATTTGCCCCGTGAAGGGGCCTTGCATCCTGTGCAAGGCGAGGCGCGAAAAGCGTTACAGCGCCCTAAAGGGAAGCACGCAGAGTTCCTTCTTGCCTAGTCGACTTATGCATTGAAGTGCGTTAGTGCCTCAAGGATCATGGATTTCATCGGCAAGTTACATATAGTGACAGGATGAGTGTGTGGGGGGAGAATTCCCGATACAGTGCATTTGTTTATGGGAAGGCGTGGCAGGTCCCTAATAAGTCCAATGCCAGGCCTGTCTGGAGGAGGAGGAGGGATATTGGTCAAGAGGAAGGGTTTTTTTTTATGCAGAGAAAAAAAGGGTGAAAGAAGATTAGAGGTGGAGGAAGGAAATTATGGTTCGGAAATTGAAGAACTTTAGGAGGAGGTAGGAGAGGGCGGGTTGACCGCCTTACTACGGGTTAGCTAAGCTAATAGTGTGTTCGGGTTGTGTCATGGGTTAGTTATTGTTTGTCGGTACAGGCACCAGACAGCCTACCCTATCCCATAAATGGGTGTTTTGAGGGCCTTATTTCGTATTCCGCCGACCCTACTGGTAACTTTTTGGGAACCATGTATAGTTGTTGTCGTTGTCTGGTAGGAGTCTTTGAAGGAGTTCTTGTTCTGAACGTTCTATCTTATGCCAGACTCTGCTGGCCAGGGTGTGTAGCTGCTGGTTGATAGGTTTTATTCTCAGGTCTCTATGTATCTCGGATGTGGTTCTGGTGAAGGGGTATCTTTCGCCTGTGATGAATCTCAGGGCTTCATTTTGGGCCACCTGCAATAATTGGGTGGTGCTCATAGTATGAAGGGGTACTGCTGGGTAAGTTAATATCGGTATGATAAGTGATATATCCAGGTGGAGTTTTATTTTCTCAGGAAGCGTTTTAAAGCGGTATAGTTTTTTCAGTTCTCTCCTCGCCTTTTCCTTCCTGGTGTGGACATAATGGGAGTAACCTGTCGCAGATATACTGTATGCAGGCCCAGGAGGGTGCCTCTGCCTTTGTATTCTATCTGGGCATTATTGGTTACTAATGGATGGGCTTTCTTTCTGCATAAGGGCATCACTGCGAATTTCGGGAGACTGGTTTGGATTTTCCATAGGTGTTGGTGACGGCTGGGGGATTGTACTGTGGTAGGATAGGTACGATGGGGATGGAGGGAGGCACATAGGCATTGACAGTATTAAGGGATAAACCTTTTAGTGCGAGTGTGATGACGGGAGATCAGGAGGTTGATAGGGGACGTCCTTCGTGGCGGAGATACGTAGTCAACTTGCATATCATCGGTATGGTCCAAAGGCGGGGAGAGCTGTGGGGGAGGATCCTGCGTCCCCTGGTCCAACAGAGAGCTCTGGTCTCTTGCCCGACTGTGTAAGGTCATGTAGGGTATCATATGTAGGCATTCATAATAATATTTCTTCGTGTTTGAAGTCAAGGTAAAAATTATCGTTATAGTTTTTTTATTATACTTGCGGTCTGAGAACGACTTAAGATAGCTAGACATTTGTGATGGTTTGGAGTACTGTATAGATGTGTGCTGTCTGTCTCTTTCTCTCTCTTATATATTCGAGCCTAAAGGCAATAAGTATCTCTCCCTAATGAATCTGTGTAGCCCGATTGCTTCTGTCTCTTTCTTTTCCTCTTTCTCCTGCTTATTCTAGGAGACAGGTGGGCGAGGAGTTGTCAGGTAATAATGAGCTGGTGACGTAATTGAGGCACAAACACCTGGGCGGCCCCGGAGATGTCAATTATCCCTAATGGAATTTTCGCAGGGCCAAAATTCCCACACCTGAGTCTATTTCTGGACGTCTTCCATCACCGCCGTCCCGTGTCCTGCCACCTTGTAGAGCCGAGTGGACCCGAGTTTTGCCGAATGGAGACAAATGTTGCTGAGTGGTGACGATTAGACCCAGGTGTTGCCGAGTAAACCCAAGTGTTGCCAAGTGGACCCGAATGTTGCCGAATGGACCCGAGTGTTACCGAGTGGGGATGAGTGGACTCAAGTGTTGCCGAGTGAGCCCGATCGCTATCTGGATGGGCATGAGTGAAGCCGAACAAACCCGAGAGGTGTCGAGTCGAGTGCTTTCGAATAAAGCCAAAGAAACAAGAGTACAGCCTCCCAAGTCCCATGCTCCTTTCTAATTGCCTATCATATATTTTATCCACATAACAACATCAACAAGCGCTAATATAATGATTCAAGCACTAAAACACCGCATTGCAAAAACTACCTCCTCTTCTTCCTTCTCTTCTCCTTCCTCTTCTCCTTCCTCCTCCTTCTGAGTCACTATGCTGAGGGCACTTCAACACCGGACACCCCCGCCCGTATCTCTGTGATCCTGATGGGGGTAGAATAATATCTTTAGGTAAGGTTCCTGTAGTCTGTATCCTTCTGGGTATCCTTGAGACTCCCGGGTCCTCCTAGCCTGGGTTGTACCATTGGAGAGAGAGAGAGAGAGAGAGAGAGAGAGAGAGAGAGTGGTCCTACAGCACCTCAACTGTCTCCCCCGTTAACCAGAATTTATCCTTCATATACCCTCTTACTGCTACTAATGACCACCTGTCTTAGATGTGTAGAATCAGGTGAGTCATGTCAGTAGTAGTGATGTTATGTACTCTAATTACATCTCGTCCTTTCTGGTGCAATAAAGTGTTTCGTTTTATTTGTATTTATTTAATTTTCGACTGATGACGTCATGTAAACATCGGCTGGTATGTTTGTTGATTGTGTCAGTTTAGTCGGTAGATGGTACACACTGTTGACCTGACCTGTAATGGTGGCCAATCGTTTACGTTTATGGTCATTTTACTGAGTATGTGTTGTGTTTGTATCTTGTGAAATGTTTCTTAACTTATCGAACCCAACTACACAAGAGTAAGGAGAGGGATAGTGACGTGCCTCCCTTGTTACCTCACTCAGGTAGGTGTTAAGGAGTACCTCCGTCAGGTAGGTGTCAGGGAGTGCCTCCGTCAGGTAGGTGTCAGGGAGTGCCTTCGTCAGGTAGGTGTCAGGGAGTGCCTCCGTCAGGTAGGTGTCAGGGAGTGCCTCCGTCAGGTAGGTGTCAGGGAGTGCCTCCGTCGGGTTTGTGTCGGTAGTTCAGTAAAGTAAAACTCAGGTGTGACTGACAAGATACTGGTTTATTTATTTTCTCTGTGTTAACGAAAATAAATATTTTCTCTCAGGGTTAAATGTAAACATTAGATCATCGACTTTGTTGCTTGTGGTCATCTTTGGTTAGTGACCATAGTCGCCACCGTGGCCACCACTCCCACCGCCGTGGCCACCACTCCCACCGCCGTAACCGCCGCCGCTGCCCTTGGCCTTGGCCAAAGCCTTGCTGGCGGCCGCCTGGGCCTGCGCTGCTGCTGCCTGTGCTGACTGCAGGTCATTGAGGACCAAACTTTGCTGCTGGTTGAGGGAGTTGGCGGCCTGCTGAGACTGCCAGGCCATGGCCGACTGTGCTGATTGTACAGACTGAGCGGCTTGCAGTGTTTGCCAGGCCTGGGCCGCTACAGCCTGTGCCTCGGCCTGTGCTTGTGCCAGATGGTCGGCCAAGGCCACGGCGAAGTTGTAGGTGTTCTCGGCCGCCTGGACGGCGCTGGCGGCCTGGCCGGAGAGTGATGACTCTGCAAAGGCGGCTGCCTGTGCACCTTGAGAGGCTTGTGTCAGCTGGGCAGCGTTAGCTTGTTCCTGAGCAGCAGCTGCTGCTGCTGCTGTCTGGGCTGCTGCAGAGGCTGCGGCGGCGGCCTGACTGGCTGCTGCGGAAGCTGCAGCCTGAGAGGCTCCCTTCAGTCCGGCGGCGGCTGCAGTAGCCTGAGCTGCGGCTTGGTTTGCGACGCCAGATGCGCTGGGGCCATGGCCGCCACCGCCACCACCCGCACCGATGATCAGGTAGCCGCCACCTCCTCCACTGCTGCCCCCATAGCCACCGCCGCCACCACCATGACCTCCACTTCCATAGCCGCCGCTACCGCTGATAAAGCCGCGTTTCACCTGCGGAAGTAAGAGGGTCAGTGGGGTGTGAAGATACTGAAGGATGAACCTCCGGCCGGATGGAACAACCCTGGCCCCTACTGACACGGTGACGTATTCACTGAGGAAGACCACATGAAGGGTATAATTTCTTCACTTATTATTGTCACCTTCAACACATACCAGAAAGACATACACTTACCCTGTCCACCTGGGCTCCGGAGACCGCCACACCTGTTGAGTGAAACAGTCTAGTCAGACCGATAACAATCCTCTTTAAGAAAGTCAATACATGAGTGTGTGAATCACTTCTCTATTACCGTAATTATTTATTCACTTGTAGAAATATACTTGGATGAGTGTTTAAAAAAAACTGTGGATTTAGAAGAGGAAAATATCTCACCTAGGCAGAGGCACAACACGAGGTTCCTGTACATTGTTGCTCTAAAGGCGACGCTGGAGCGACTGTGTCATCCGCAACCACAACCGCCCTTATATACCCCACCTATGAGGGGTTGGACTAGGGGGGGGGAAGGGAAGGGAGGGGGTGGGGGAATTATGTCGAAAATTTCCCCTTGCGAGCTTTCAAATCGTCTGGTTATGAAAGTCTTCGGTCTGGTAACCAGTCTTGTTTAGAGTTAATAAGTATTGTCTTGTGTGAAAGAGGGTTGAAAGATATTTCTCTCACGCCCTCTTTACTCGGAGGCTCGCTTGGATGTTACCTCTTCTAGTCAGTTTTATTTGCACTCCGGAATTTCTTTTGCTGAAGGTTCTCCTCCGTCACCTTGTTTACACGTTCTTGCAAGGACCTTCCTTGTACCTTCTGCTCTCTCTCTCTCTCTCTCACCGCCACCACTCATATTATTTAATTATCAGCCATAGATAAAAAGTTAGAGTCTTATGATTTCCAGCGTAATAAAATTAAAACAAACTAAACTACGAAAAGATGAACACTGTAGGACCCAGCGACACCCCTTTAGGCACCTCCAGTGATATTACACCAAGACTCACTATATTTTTTTTATATAACAAAATAAATTTCTATCTAATTACGAAAGCTTATACTATCCGTTATTAGTATTGAAGTTTTAGATAAAAAGTTGTTTGTATTTGGTAAACTTTGTTATCAGTTAACGAAGGAGAGTACTGTAGGAGTGTGTTTATGGGTACTGTGGTCTGATAGCAATATAACACCTTCCAGTATACGATCAACTGCTCTGATGGTATTCAAAACAGAGTTGTAATCAGAGTTTGCAATCGCTCTTCAAGAAACTACAAATAGTTAAACTTTCAACATCTCTTTATTTCGTTTCTTCAGCTTACTTTCTTCTCCAAGTTGGTGTTTTAATTTTGATTCAAAGAGAGCTTAGACCTGAACCAGACTGCTTCTTGCTTAATGCTGTGTGTGTAAGTTTGAGTGGCTGTGTGGCTTTGTGAGTTGTGTATATGTGTGTGTGTAGGGGGCGTGTGTGTGTTTAGCTGTGTTAGTGTGTGGCTATGTGAATGTGTGGCTGTGTGAGTGGAGTGTGGCTGTGTGGATGAGTGTGGCTGTGTGAGTGAGTGTGACTTGTGTTAGTGTGTGTCTGTGTGTGTGGTAGTATGTGTGTGTGTGTGTGTGGTTGAGTGGGGTGTGTGTGTGTGTGTGGTTGAGTAGGTGTGTGTGTGTGTGTGTGGTTGAGTGGGTGTGTGTGTGTGTGTGTGTGTGTGTGTGTGTGTGTGTGTGTGTGTGTGTGTGTGTCTGTCTGTGTGTGTGTTTAGCTGTGTTAGTGTGTGGCTATGTGAATGTGTGTGTGTGGTGAGTGTGGCTGTGTGGGTGAGTGTGGCTGTGTGGGTGGTGTGGCTGTGTGAGTAAGTGTGACTGTGTTAGTGTGTGGATGTGTGTGTGTTAGTATGTGTGTGTGTGTGTGTGTGTGGTTGAGTAGGTGTATGGCTCTGTGTGTGGTTGAGTGTGTGTCTGCGTGTGTGTGTGCGCTGCGTGCGTGCGTGTATATGTATGCTTTAAGTGTCTTGTGTTTGTGGTAATTCTCAATAGTCTAATTCCCTTTAACAACTCTTAAGAAAATGTAAATACGCAATAATAATAATAATAATAATAATAATAATAATAATAATCGTAGTCGTCGTAATAATAGTAGTAGTAATCATAATAGTAGTAGTAGTAGTAGTAATCATAATAGTAGTAGTAGTAGTAATCATAATAGTAGTAGGAATAATAATAGTGGTAGTAATAATAATGATAAAGGTAAACCGTAAACGACACAGATAGAGACACGTGTCAATGAATATCAGCTGATCAAACAACAACAATCATTTTCGTAAACACTCGTGTCATGTAAACTTCCCCTTCAACCCAGATCAAAACTCCCAACCATTCTCCTTCTCTATAAATATTTTTTTTTATATATATATAACCTTTTTTTTTAAGCCCTGTTCCCTTTCACCTCCTCTTCTATATATATTCCTTTGTTATTCTTTAGAGTATGTTCTTTGTCCGGTATGAACCATGGGAAGGGAGGTTATCCGAAGAAACCATGTGGGACCTTTTGACAACAAGTCGCTGGCGTCACCTACAGCCTCTTGTATCGCTCGCGCTCTATTCATTTCTGGACGTGGGGTGCGCCGAAGGGGTGCGAAGGAAGGAAGGGGAGAGTTAGGGAAGGGAGATGTTATGGATGAAGGGGAGAAAGAGAGGTAGCAGGGGATGGATAAAGGGAAGGGTAAGGCAATGGGAGGAAGAAGGGAAAGAAATGATATTTTGAATAACCCCTTCCCTTCCTTCATCACACTCCCCATCTCCATTTCTACCACCATCCCCCTAACACTAATGTCCGCAACCACCACCATAAAGCCCAACACCCGGACAACTATTATCTATCCCAACCTCCATCCCCAACAATCATTCTTATATACTCCTCCCACCGCCTATCACCATCACCCCCACCAATTTAGCCTATTTCTCACAATTACCCATACACTCTATCCCCACCACCACCAACATTACCCACCACCACCAACATTACCCACCACTACCAAACACCACCACCACCAACACTACCCCCACCACCCCCCACCACAATCACCACTCACCACCACTACCCCACCACCACCACTACCCCTCACCACCACCACTACCCCACCACCACCACTACCCCCCACCACCACCACTACCCCTTCACCAACACTACCCCCACCACCAACACTCTCTCACCACCACTACCCCACCACCAACACTACCCCCACCACCAACACTACCCCACCACCAACACTACCCCCACCACCAACACTCTCACCAACACTACCCCCACCACCAACACTACCCCCACCACCAACACTCTCACCAACAACACTCACCCCACCACCAACACTACCCCCACCAACAACACTACCCCACCACCAACTCTCTCCCCCCACCACCACCACCACCACCACCACCACTACCACTACTCCCTACTCCCACCACCATTACCCCAGCACCACTAATCACCCCCACCACCACCACCACCAACCACCACCACTACCCACCACCACCACCACTACCCACAACGCCACTACCCCCACCAACACCATTACCCCTCACCATCAGCACTACTCACCACCACTCACCCCTCACCACCACTACCCCTCACCACCACCACCACCCTCACCACCACCACAACCCCTCACCATCACCACCATTATCCCCACCACTACCCCCACCGCTCCTCCCCTACCCCCACCACTAACCCCAGCACCAACACTACCCCTCACCACCACCACTACTCCCCACCACTACCCCACCACCCTCCCCACCGCCCTCCCCACCCCTACCACTACTCCCCCACCACTACCCTCACCACCCCACCCCACCGCCCCTCCCCCACCGCCCCTCCCCCACCGCCCCTCCCCCACCGCCCTCTCCTACCCCCCACCACTAACCCCAGCACCAACACTACCCTCACCACCACCACTACTCCCCACCACTACCCCCCACCGCCCCTCCCACCGCCCTCCCCCACCGCCCCCTCCCCCACCGCCCCTCCCCCCACCGCCCCTCCCCACCCCTACCACTACCCACACCACCACCACTACCCCCTCACCACTCACCCTCACCACCCCACCCCCACCGCCCCTCCCCCACCGCCCCTCCCCACCGCCCCTCCCCACCGCCCCCACCGCCCCTCCCCACCGCCCCCTCCCTACCCCCCACCCTCACACTCCCACCACCAACACTACCCCACCATCACTACTACTCCCCACCACTAGCCACCACCAACACTACCCCCATCACCAACACTACCCCCATCACCAACACTACCCACCACCACCACCAACGTTATCCACCACCGCTACCATCCCCATACCACCACCACCACCACCACCACCAACACTATCCACCACCACCACTACCAACAACGTTATCCACCACCACTACCATCCCCATACCACCACCACCACCACCACATCCCCACACCACACCACGACCAACACTATCCACCACTACCATCTTCTCATCACCACAACACTTCATCTCTATATCTCTGGTCAACTCCACTCAGCCTCGTCAACACCTGGGGTCGGGTTTTGGCAGCGTCAACAGGTGGAGGTCATCTGTCTGGATTATAGAACCCTACCTCCTCACTCTACCACTATCTTAGTTGTCTTGATTCTAGTGGTGGTCTCAGTGTTCGCCTCCCTCTTCTGTCTCTTTCTGTTTCTTTCCAATTGCGTGTTCTGTCTTTGTCTGTCTAAATTTCGTGTTTATTTAAATCCTCTGAGACACACACACACTAGATGGCTCTGGCGTCTGCTATCCCAAGCCTCGTGTCGATTCTCCTGAGAATTCCCCGTCACACATCCTGCTTATCTTAATCTCCCACTCAATATATAGCGTTGTCTTCCTTCAGTTCCTCGTTCGTGTCAGGGGCTGTTGGGTCTCCGGGGTCATACGTTATTCTACCCTATCTATAACCATTAGGTCGAACCACCCCTCCTAGACGTCAGGCAGGTCAGTTCAGGTCGAGTTAGGGTCCAGCTTACTCCTCCAACACCACAATATCTTCTGACGGGGATCACGGGTCATGACTAAGAGGGCTCAGTCCATGTGACAATATACAACAACAACAAACACTGGCCACTCTATCATCACAAGAGACCCAGACTCCCTTGCCGCCATGTCACTATTCTGGGCCAGGCTTATCAAAGTTTTAAAAGGCGTCACTGCAAACAGGAAGGGGCAAGCTGATCGTGCGTCTGGCGTAGTGTGATTAAATGGGGTTATTGCAAAGTAAAATAGGAACGCCAAGCCAAACGCTGTTGGTTGCCCGTGCTGGAGAAAACCTGATCTTATTAATTATTTTAAGAGAATAAATATATATAAATTTAACTTTCCTCTAAATTGGTGACGTTGGTATTCAGAACTTTCGCTCACTATGAATTTATAAAAATCGATTACTTCCCTGTGAAAAGAATCAATTT